CTCCCTGTGGTTATCAAAGAAATGGCAATGACCTAAAGAAATGCGGGAAGGGCTGGCCAGGGAGATGTTACTGGTGAGCTGTGGGTCCCCTATGAACCCTCTGTGCAGCGCCCCCAACAAAAAATAACTGTGGTTCCTCAAAAGAACCACCACTTTTAGGAGCAATCTCATCAGAATGGGCCCTCCATACAGGTGTTGTGAGGGATTTGTCCCCAAACCTCCCACTTCTTACCCCTAGGTTTAACGTCTCACAACCAGATTTCATTGCAGAAGCATTTATGAGCACCTGCCATTTTCCAGGTGTCACTTATGCTAGGTACTGACTTTAGTTTCTTGAGAGTATTTATTATCCTCACTAAGTTTTATGTTTTTGTTTCATGATTCTGGAGAAGAACCCAGGGCCGGGCCTGCTAGACAAGTGTCCTACAACGGAACTACATCCCAAGCTCTGAGTATTTCAAAATGCAAACACGGAGAAGGGCAACTCAGTAAATGTCTAACACCTCCACCCCCAGGTTGACTAAATAAGGGGGGAGTTCTTTCTTGGAAGACAGCAGAGGACTGGCTATGTTTTGCAAATAGTGAGGGGCGGGGAGCCAAATAAAGTTCAGAGGGCAGAGGTGACTACAGAATAAAGGACCAAGACATAGCCATAACCATCTTTTTCTGCAGGGGATGTGGGGCGCCCCATCTGCTCCTTCCTTTATCCTTCCCCCACAACGGCAGTAGCCCCTGGAGGTGCAGCTGCTGGACTAGCTGGGTTCCTGGAGCAAGAGCAGCCAGGACCTGGGCGGCTTGGCTCTGCAGCAGAGGGCCGCCCCTTTCTCCAGCTCTGGGGGAGGGTGCCCTGAACCAGTGCCTACTCGCTCCCCAACAAGTTCAGGGCTTGGAGTTCAGGTAATTAGGCCCTTGGCAATCTCACCTGAGCATGCCAATAAAACTGAAATAAACACCTTCAGCCCCTCTCCGGGGAGAGGGAAAACAGGGAGAGAGCAAGAGAGGGGAAAAAAAACCTTTTTTTAAAAAATGATGAATTCCAGTCCTGGCAGTCAGAAAGGAGAATACTGGAGTTCCACAAGGTAGCCCCTCCAAACACCCCGCCCTGCCCCACAATCGTGGTTGTCCCTCTGGCCACAGAACAATGGTGGCCTCTGTCTGCCACCATTATCCTCGGTGACAGTGGTCAACCTGCACAGGAAGCAGTCAGCGAGGGCCGAAGCTTTACAGGAAGGGCGTCCCCAGCATGTCTCTTTTTCATGGCTGAGAAAGAAGGAAAGCTCCTGAGTCCTCACCCCACCCTAGGAGCCAAAGTTACCCACTGAAAAAGTCTACAGGGATGCTCCAGAGTGTGAAAGAGCAATGTCTTTTTATACTGCCTTGTGTTACAGCCAACTGTTGAGATCTTAATCCATGCCTGGGCTCCTGCAGGATTGGACCCATTCTTTCTCCCTACCTTGGTACAATGCCCAACCCTAACAGGAATTTCCTTTTCTCCATAAATAATAGGCATTAGTATTTCTTGTATATGATCACACCGGCATGGACTGGAGCTCCACACCTGGCCCTGTTTACTAGTTCTCTCTTATTCCTGGGGCACACAGGGGGAGAGCATTTCTGTCACGTGGCAAGGTGGGGGAGAATATAGTTTAATAATAGTAACTGCCATTTACCACGTGCTAGGTGTCTGGCTTAAATATTCTGTGAGGGTTCTCTAATTTAATTCTTCCTACAGGATAGGCACTGTTATTATTATCCCAATTTACAGATTAGAAAACTGAGCCTAAGAAAGAAATTCAGAAGTTTGCCCAAAGTCACACAGAAGCTTTCCTGAATACTTTAACTGAAGGCTTCCATTCTATGCTAAGAATGGGGAAAAGGGGAAGGCTTCTTGTTCCAAAAGACCCTTATCCACTCTTGCCCAAAAAGTAAGAAGGCCCGGCAACGCGCTGTCCGTGGGAGCAACATTGCAGCTGGCCTCCCAGTGTTTGCGGGCCTTCCCTGGAGTGGCTACTCTCCTCCTAGAGCGCTGGAAGGTTCCAAGGACTGCTAAAGCAACCACCTCTGCCTTTCCTGACGCAGACCTGTGGGACTGGGATAGGGCTTCCAGCTCCTCACTTTGCCTGTCCTCCCCCGGGAGAGATCCGACAGGTGGAAAGTGGGTGCATTGTGGTGTCCTCGGGAGTTGAACTGGGCAACCGGAGGCCTCTCACTTCCTTCCCCCCACCCCCGCAGGCTGAGCTCTGCCTCGCGCGGGGAGACATGGGCATTGCAGTCAGTCTCCGGGCCTGGTCGCTCGCCCTGGGCTGAGAACCTCACGGCAGCCTCGGGCAGGAGCCCCACCCAGCCTCGGGTGCACGCTCAGCTAGAAGGGCCTCGGAGGGCCCAGGACTGGGCCTGGCGCGCGCCAAGCTTGGTGGTCGTTCCTGCTCCCCGCCCTTCCTCTACTGCCAGGCGCTGTGGCCAGAGGCCTGAGCCGGTGGCTAATTTTTCACGCCCCCTATACCGCCTCCCTAGGTGACGCTACAGCCTGTGCGGTTCCTTTAAAGGCTGCGGGTTCCGCTCTTCTTTCCTTTTCCACTGGATGCCAAAATGTGCAAATCCGGGGACCGGAATCTGCAGCCAAATAGAGAAGGAGAAGGGGCGCGGCCGGCGCGTCACCGGATCCGCTCCTTGTATGGCTCTTCCCGGCTTGGCCCGCCGCCCCGCGACCCTCCCTGCAGCCTCGGGGCCCCTCCCTCACCCAGCCGGGCTCGCACTGCCACCCACGCCCCCGACCGGTCGCTCGCCACCCCCAAGGGAGGGATCTGGGGGCGGGAGGCGCTGCCTGCACAGATTCCGGCCGGAGCCCGGCTCTGCTGCAGCTCGCTGCTTCCCCGCGCCGCGCGGGTGGAGGAGAGCCCGGGGGCGCTGTGCCTCCACGCCTTGGGAACTGGGAGCCCGGCTGGAGAGGCGGCGGGGGTGGCGGAGAGGGGGCTCGCGGGCGGCGGGAATCCCTCCTTTCCTAAGAACTAGAGAAGATCCGGGGGAGGCCGGGCCTCCCATCCTCAGCTCCCCAAGTGAAGAGAGGGGAGGGGAGCGAGGTTGTCATCCGCCCCCTCCACAATGCGCAGCTCGGGAGTTCCTCCCACACATCCCCGGCCCGCATGGCCCTCCCACGGCGTGAGGCCCGGGGATCCTCTCTTCCTCCTCGTCGACACTCCCACTCCCCCTGAGACATGCACGTTCCCCCAGCCTCAACTCCAGCGGGGGACACGGGATTCACCGTGCCCACGCGGCCACCAAGGAGGGAATCCTCCCTCCGCCAAGCGGGTGTGACTCGGGGTCGCGCCTCCATGCTCCCTCAGCTCCTCCCCATCGCCCGGGCCGGGCCCCGCGCGCCTCGGGAGCAGGCCTTAGGGAACACAGCACCCGCCCCCGGGATCCGCTGCGCTCTGGGAGGTGACAGCGCTCCGGGTCGGCACACAGGCCGCCCTTGACTGCGGGGCGTCGGCAGGCAGCACGGAGGACAGCCCTGTAGAAGGCGAGGGGGAGGGTGCAAACTAGGGGAAGCCGCCGGGGTAGCTCAGAGACCGTGGGTTCCAACGGTCGGCGTCCTCCTGCTTGCAACTCAGCGGCGGCCCCTTCGCAGGCAGCAGCGGATAGCGACTGTGCCCGGGCCTGCTGGGACCTCCTGCCATCCTGTGGCCAAAGAGGTTGCTTTGGAACTGTTAGGGAATTTACTTGGTGCACGTGTTTTCTATCTCCTAAACTTCATCCCTTCTTCGCCACCCAAACCGCACATCCTCAGCCCCAGATGTGTGGGGCTCTTGCCTCCTGCGCAGCGGCTGGGCTCACTCAGGAGTCAGCGCAGGGTCAGAAGCCCTGGGAGGGGCAGGGATGTGGGCGGCGAATCAGAGTGAAGTCGGCACAGAAGTTCTTGAGATCGTGGCCCAAGGAGCCCTGACACTTTGAAACACCACCACCACCCCGGCCAACAGGAAGCACTCCAGTCGTAGTCCTGGGTAGGGACTGTGCGCCTGGGGAAGCAGTGGGGAGCAGGGTCCTAGCGGACACCTTCCGGGATCCCCAGCAGTTTCCACGGGCGCCGCCGCCGAGTGTATTCAGTTCTTTTTCTCCCTGCTGGGGTAGTCGGAAGCCACTTCCAAACAACTCCACCCTCTGACCCCATCCCCAAACGCGCCCTATAATGCAGACCTGAAATAAGCAAGCTACCAAGCTTGCAAGCAAGCAAGCAAGCACGCACACGTACACGCACACACACATGCACACGCTTGGTTGCTGGTTTTTCGACCGCGCGTTTTGCGCTTTGCATCCAGTTGCATCCCTCTTTTCTTCTTTCCTCTCGTATTTTCCTTCTTTCTTCTTTTATTTGTCCGTTTCTCTCTTTTTTTAAGAGCGGCTTGCTGTGCAGGGCTCTTGCACGTTGGCTGCGGCCCGCTTCCTGCTTTCTAATGTTCCATTGTGAGGAGCTTCCATTGTGACGTCGCGCCCCTTCGGCTGGGCTTTGTCTGTCCATATATGGGCAGCTACGTCACGGAGCTTTCCCGGGGCTCAGATAAATAGGCTGGTGGAGTTCCCTGGCTGGGAGCTTTTGGGCAGCAGTGAGCTTGCTAGGAAGCGACGGGGCTGGTGGTGGTGGTAGCGGCGGCGGCAGCGGCGACAGAGGCGGCGGTGGCAGCAGCATCGGCGGCGGTGGCGGCGGCGGCGGCG